TATTGTTGCCATCACTATCATCACCTCATTTATCATTAGTACGATACATAAGCCGACGAAATGAACTTTCGACGAAATGGGTGTCGACGAAATGATTGTTGACGAAATAATTTTCGCCGAAGTAAACAGGACCGATAAAAATGCTATAACGAATAGTATCTCTATATAGATGTTTTTTATTTGTCTCTTCATTTTTTATTTTTTATTTATTCCTTTTCTTTCACTTTGATCTTGTAAATTATTTCTGAGAAAAATGAAGCGTGATCGCCTTGAACAGAATCGGTATCTTCATTATTTTCATGACTTTTACCATGACCTCTACCAACTGCTATAACTTCATGACTTTCGCGATTTTCATGAATTCCATGACCTCCATGATTTTCACGATTTCCTTGATTTTGTTTCATTATACAGTAAATAATATATTAAAGGAGAATTTAGTTTGAAATGAATAGAACAAAAGGGTTAAAAAAATTTAAAGTATATTTAACAACATGATGTATATTTAAAGTTGTACAACTCAAATTAAAAGTAGTACAATAGAATATAGCTGATAAACGCAAATCAACGCGATGTAAATTTTCTTGATGTTGGATTATTAAATTAAGCCAATAATTAACTAAAAAATAGTATTAATTTTAGAAGAATATCTGATAAATATTGGAACTTTTAATATTTACTAATAGGCTTTTAGACTATATGATAAAAATACTAAGAATATTATTAACTTATCAGCATCGGGAGAAACGTGATCAGATTAGCCTTGTGTATATATTAATAATGATTACGAAAAGAAAAATACCAATCGTTTGTTGTTGATAAGGATCTTATAATTACCCAGAGAGATCGCTCCGCGTTTTGATTCCAATTAAAATATTTATATGAAATAAAAGGCACCACATTATATCAATACAAATAAAGAAAATACCTCTGGTTAGTTATTAACACGTCTTCAGACAAGATACATACCATATCATACCAAACAACAACACTCGCATTTTGTCATTGAAAAATAAGGTTGTTTTCCAAGGAAGAAAAAAAATAATTCGCATCTGTCCTCCCAAAAAAAAAGGACCAATAGGATAAATAAATAATGTGTACACGTCGATCAAATCGATAATTATCTTTTTTTAAAAAAAAATGCAGCATCAAAAGAAAAAAAGAAAACAATAAGGCAAACTGAGTAAGTGTTTATCATAAGGATGGTGGTGGTTATCGTCACCTGTCGTCACTCTAGTTATAAAATAAGAATGCTATTATTTTATTATGCTATTATTATTGTTATGCTATTATTTTATTATTATTACTATGCTATTGGAATTATTATTATTATTTTATTTATTATTATTATTATTACTATTATTTTGCAAATTAATTCATTATCATTCCCTTAAATTATTTATTATTAATTTCTTTTTATCGAATTTATTATAGATTCATAACCGATTAGGCTTACTGATTCCTTCGCAAGTATTTCATTAGATCGAATTCTTCCCGTGTATTCAAAACATTTTTGAGTAAAATTTATCTAATTTATCTGTATCTTTTATTTCGAAAATTTGATCTCTAGGTTTCATAACGTGTGTTTTTGCTGCAAATTCGTCTACCAATTCTGTGAATGTTTTAGATGAAAAACAACGACTATGGTCTAAATGTATTCTTTTGTTTGCCAAAGATGATCGATCTTCGTAGTCTGATGGTCTTCTTTCGTACATCAAGGATGATCGGTTTACGTGGTTTAAAGTTGTTTTATTTCTGTAATCTGATGGTCTTCCTTCTTTCATTGAAGATACTGACCTCCAAAATATCTTCTTTTGTTCATTAAAGATGATCGATCTCCGTGGTCTGATGGTCTTCCTTCTTTCACCAAAGATGATGGGCTTCCGTGGTCAAAATGCCTTTTTTCTCTCGTTAAAGATGATGGATCTGATGATCTTCGATTTTCGTGGTCTGATGGCTCACTAAAGATGATTGATTTCCGTGATTTGATTGTCTTCCTTCTTCCACTAAAGATGATGGATCCGATGGTTTTATTTCGTTCACTAAGGATAGTTGATTTCCGTGATCTGATGGTCTTCCTTCTTTGACTAAAGATGGTTGATCTTCGTGATCTGATGATCCTCCTTCTTTGACTAAAGATGGTGATCTGATGATCCTCCTTCTTTGACTAAGGATGGTTTATTTCTGTCTTCCTTCTTTAACTAAAGATGATTGACTTCCACAGTCCATTGATTCCTTTTTTCTTACTTCTAACTTAGTTGTATCTATTTCCTCTCCTATATCATTTACTCCGACTTCCACCGGCAACCCAAGATCACTAAACTTGTCCTTATAAGAAGGTACACTCAAACCTCGTCACAGAAGATTGATGGGACCAGCCAAAAAATCCGTTGTGACAAGAAATCCACTATGGTGATGATCATGATCAACAAAAAATTTTTTAATAGTAATAGATAAATAACGATTACAATAGTAATTAATAATAATTATAGATGGGCGTCTAAATTGTTTTTGGGGTTGTCTAAAGTCAAAATAATTATTTAGACAAAAATGTCTAAATGTCTAAATTAATATAAATAGTAATGATTTGCTTGAAATACAACTAAAAGTCACGCGTATATACACAAAATCCACAAAGTTCAATAAAAAATTCAATTTCAGCATTTTAGACAATTGAGACCATGATTGTCTAAATGACTAAATTAATCTATATTTTAGACACCCATCTATAATACTAATACATGCAGGAATTAAAAATCTATTTTTGAAATAAGATGAAATATTTGGTTGTATTAATTTTTCAATGATTTAAATGTTTTAAATTCTTTATAGTCTATCTCTAAATCACCTTGCCGAAGAAAATTGAGAGCTACCTCAAAGGTGATCACAGCATCTTTCATTGAAACTTTGGGTGTGGTATTGCTTTCAATAACCTGCTTTTGGTGGAAGTTTAATTCTTGGGAAAAGATACATCGATCCCTATTATTTAAAAAAATTTAGTATAACAAGTATAATATATATACAAGAATTATAACATTAAAAAAAATATACCTGAGCACTATTACACGTTACACCTTCTAATTTATTAAACAAATCACATAATTTTTGACTACGCCTTTTCAAACTTTCGTAAATAGCGTTAATTATATAATAATAATAATAACAATAATATAATATAATCATAAGCGAACGTTAGCACAAAATTTTAACCCATGCAATTATTGATTGACCAATTGACCAATCAAAATCGTGAATTTGATAATGTAAAAATAAGTGTTGGTTGTCAACAATCACTTCACCAACAAATGGTTTGAATTTAAGAAGCTGTAGTTGGAAGCAACCATGTGACAAACCTTTGAAATAGTCTAATAAATTAAATTGTACCACTCAAAAATGTATTTAAAGGGTCGGTTTTCGACTTGGTTGAAGAATAACTCTCTTCCTAACTCTTCTCTTGACTATATGATCAAAATAACCTTAATATAATGAATGTCAACAAAATGATTGTAGACACAACCAATATTTAACATATACGATTAAGACAAAACATGAAAAAATCAAATAAATTTATTTAATAAAAACAAAATTACATCCCAAAAAATTTTTTTTGCATGTTCTAACAAAATTTCCATTGTTGCATCATCTATTGCTGATTCAACGTTACCCGGATCACCATCAATTGTATTTTCGATATTTTCATTTTCGTTTAATCTTTTCATCATACTTTCTTTTAGTGCGTTGACATTTTTTTTGATTTCGTATTGAAGATAGTCCAAAATTAGTAACCATATCAATCATTGGATTATTTGTCTCCATCCAATAAAAGGCATCAGAAAAAAAATTAAAGGTGCACACTTATAATTTCTTCGATCAAACCGAAGAAAATTTTCATAACTTTTACCATGACCTCTACCAACTGCTATAACTTCATGACTTTCGCGACTTCCATGAATTCCATGACTCCCACGACTTCCATGACTCCCACGACTTTCGTGATTTCCATGATTTTGTTTCATTATACAGTAAATAATATATTAAAGTTTGAAATGAATAGAAAAAAAGTTTTAAAAAAGGTTTTAAAAAAAGTTTAAAATTTTTTAAAAAAATTTAAAGCATATTAAACTTTAAACTTACTACTATAACTAGACTAAAGCGTCCCTCAGCTAGTAAATGTTGATGTGTAATTGTTAAAGGGAATAATTACAAAAGTAATGATTTTAGCGAAGGATTATTGTCAATGATAGTTTCATTAATAAGGGTTACGATTAAAGAGAGTGATTTGTTTAAATAATAACATTATGATTTTATTATTATGATTTCGTTAAACTCGTTACATTGTTCATTGTATATATTTTATAATTCTGAATTCATGAATTGATTGAACGATCTCGAACTACCTTTCGTAGGTGTACAAAGAATCTTATAAGTAAACTTCTAATCGTATGAATTTTGTGAGAAAGTCTTGGTTTGTCTCATATAAAGTGACGGCTATCACTAAAATGAGATAATTGATAATTCAGATGATTCTCTATATATGTCAAACAGATAAGAAGACTAATAAACAATTTCTAGCCAGCCGTAGAATACAAATATAGTAATTTGAGTTAAAATTTATAAGGAAATGGAAATATTAAAATTAAAAAAAGTAAAAATTATACGAATTATACAGTATATGAATTGGAATGTAAATTTTTTGATCGTTTTGTATAGATCACGTTACATTCGTGACTTTTAATATTACGTTTCGTGACAATATAATATGACAATATTACACCATTGTTTTTCGGAATTTATCATCTTTATTATTATCACCATTTTCGTCAACAATACAATAATCATCGCCATTCTCCTTATTGTTGTTGTTGTTATTTGAGCTTCAAAAGCTTCTTATTCATATAAAAAAATATTGGTTTGTAAAAAACGCGTTAATGCATCTCTTTATTAATTGTAATGAAACTGAAAAGAATCGCATCTATCTATTGTTTCTATATTGTTATATATGTTATAGGTTTTCATTTATATGAACTATCTATGCTATTATACTATACATTTTTTTTTATTGCGTGAATTATTCTCAGTAGCCTTTAATGGCGACGCGTAGACAATAGAATCATTTGTATGTTGGGATCCACCACGTTTAAATTTTTTGCTCGATTTATATAAAAATTCCATATGGGCTTGCAATTTCATGATACGGTCCTAATCAATAATAAAAAGTACGTTAAGATTACTTTTAAAGTAATAATCGACCAATGGTAGGACATATAACCTTAAATTTACTCATTATTTGAATGATATTGGATATATTTTCTAGGTCCAGTGATGTGAATCCATTGAATTGATAAACGAGATATATCCCGTCCACTCAATGCATCGAATACATAAGAAATTCTTTTCCTAAATTATTAAAGTATATCATAGTAAGCTTATAAATATTAAGTTTTATATATAAGTATATATATGCAATTTAAACATTTACATTTGATTAATAAATGAAATTATTTTCATGTAAAAGATTTTATATGGACCTCTTACATTTGGTATTGAGGCGTTTCCAGGAACTACATACTTATAAATGAATTGTTGTTGAGAACCAGTAAAATCAAATTTTGTTTTTCGATTAAATTTCAGGATGGTTCTTTTGGAGTGAATTCTCAAACAAAGTGCCATATCTGTATGTTTCAGGGTTGGCAAGTGTGCAGTCCATTGATGGTCTATTGGTGGTCCATTGGGTCCATCAGTGTAACACTTTAACCATATTTAGTATTTTATTAATGGCAATGGACCAGTCCAAAATCCATCTGTTCTCAATAGACCAGTCAATTTGCCAACCCTGGTATGTTTTATCAATCATTTTACTGACTGTTGTGATATATTTATCATAGTTAGCACTTGCTACAAAACTATTTATTATCTATGTTAAATAAGTTAAACTTACCAATTTTATTTTCTTTGACTAGAATAAAATCAGATTCATCATTATAGAAATCTTCTATATAATCACTATAATTATACTTGCCACAAAAAGTATAGTCCAAATCCCAAAATAGGGATTGGGATTGGCCTTTTGAGTTTGGAACAAATATAACTATAATCATTTTCAGAGCTGATGTTTTTGGAAATATTCTGAACTTCTTTATTACTTTTCTTGTCCTTGACATAGTATATTATTTTTTTAAAAAAGCAGATTTGGTGTATGTAGTATGTTTGGAAAAAAAAATTTTGAGCAAATTACATGCCAAAATTTCATGTGTTATTAATGCAATATTTAATTGGTGATTACTTTGTAAGAAATATCTAATTCTAAAAGAAAAAATGTATTTACAAAAAAGAAAGATAAGAAATTCACAAAATACAAACAGTTAATGAGTGGAATTTTTAAATTTATAAACAACATTTATTTTTATAAAAAAAATTAACAAATTAATAATTAATAATAATAATTAGTAAACAAAAATAATATTATTATTGCTCCGTACATTTTTTATTTATTATTATATTTTTTAATTTTGTACGGAACGGAATTTGTGAATTCCGAAAAGTTGATTGGTGGGGGCCAGTTTGTACGATC